AGGTGTTTGAACCCTCCCCATCTGGTAGAGATAGTCCCTGAAGAAGCTGTGTCCTGTCAGGAAATGGGAGAGGTAAAAGTTCACTTCCCCAAACTTACATTGCACCCATGGCAGCAACTTCTTAATAAGTTGGTGTGTTCACCTTCGTTTGGTCCTGTCGTTCCAGAGTTCCATTGTCTCTTTCCGCTCCTCTTGTGCCGCAATCGGTCTGCCGTCGCCTACGCTCCTGTCATAAATTCGCTTGCGCTCCAGCGCGAGCAGGTCGGTATTGCTTCGGCGATCACAAGGATGGCGTCTATGGAGACTGTTCGATAAGAGCATGCCACCCTCAGTGCTCCCCTACGCTTAACAGCTGTGATCCGTATTCTGTCTTTTTTCACACTCAGCGCTTCGGCCTACACTTCAGCTCTGTTCAATAGCATTGACTGTACTGTCAACATCAGCAGTCTCCTTTTGTTCGGCCGTGGACTGTCTACATTGGCCATCTACCTGCCTGGTGGGTATTCTTTTCCTGCTGAGTAGAACAATCTCTGTTTTTGCAGGTGCCAACTGCAGACCGTGGCCTTCCATCCAGTCACTAACTCGCCTCATCACCTGGTTTAGTCTTAGTTGGGCTAGCTCAACGCTACGGGCTTCTATGACAGCCAGTGTGTCATCTGCATATCCGACCAGGAGAGTGCCTTCCGGCATCTCTGTCCTTAGCAGACTGTCGTATACTGCGTTCCAGAAATCTGCTGCTAGTATTGAGCCCTGCGCAACACCGGCGGTGACTGGCTTGGATTTCTGCCCATTTGTTGTCTCATATAGTATGTAACGGTCCTTAAGGTAGTCCCTTACCATACGGGTAAGGTATTTGGGGATTTTGAAAGTGTTTTCCAGCGCGTCCAGGATGTCAGCCCATCTTGCCGAGTTAAATGCATTCTTGACGTCAAGGGTCACAAGAAGGACGATTGGGCAGGCCGCGTGGCATGCCTCATTCGCTCTGTCGATGGCTCTGATAACCTCCCGTATGGCTCCTATCGTGGAGCGCCCTCGTCTGAACCCGTGCTGTTGGTCGGACAGATTTCCTGCAGCTTTGGTAGCCGCCAACAACCGCGGTTTCAGGAGCTTTTCCAGGATTTTCCCCGCTACATCTAACATGCAGAGGTCTGTACGCTGTTGGCATGTGCATGTCGCCATTGCCCTAGCTTACAAGGGCCAGTCGTGCGGTTTTCCAGCGAGTGCTAAATATACCTGCTTTGAGACAAGTGTTGTACATGTCTAATAGCAGTTGTGGGATTGTTTCCACCACCACCTTCTAGACTTCCGCCTGTATGCCATCCAGTCCAGGTGCCTTCTTGGTTTTTAGGGAGCTTACCACCGCTACTAGCTCTTCTTTGCTGAAGGTATGTACGTCGATACTCCCCGGTTCATCGTTTCTTTCGCTTCTAATTGGGTGCTTGGAAAGAGAGCCTTCACCATGTTCGTTGTTATTTTTCTGGGCTAGGGGAGACCGTGGGTCCAAGGGCCCATAAGTTTCTGGGCGACATATTTGTACCCCAGTCCCCAGGGGTCTGTGTTGACTTCCGCGCACAGTTTTTTCCAGCACTTGGTTTCGCTGCTCTTGATGGCGTTTTGCAATATCTTCCACACAACCTTGTGCTCCGCTGTAAACTCTGCTACATTCGCGGGGTTGGTTCTGTGTGCTCATTGTGCTTTTCTGCGGAGTTTGAGGCAATTTGCCCGTAATTCTGCTATTTCATTGGTCCATTTCCTCTTCTTTTAATGGGCATAGAGGCATTGCATGCTTTGGTAATGAGGTTCATGGTTGCTTCTATGAGGGTATGTTTGTGCCTTGTTCGGCGGTCCTACCGGCAGTTGAGGGATAGACTCCAGACCATCCTGGATCGCTCTCTGTAGTTTCCCTTTATCCATTTTTGCGGCGTTCCATCGTTTGTACTGTCTGGTGAGGTGGTCTTCACATGTATCCGGTCTTTCCTTATCAAGTATCCGAAATAATAAATATTGGTGGTCGCTACCGGTGTAATCCTCAATGACTCGCCAACCTTGCTCCTTAGCTGCTAGTCTCTCCGACATGAGCGTGATGTCTGGGCTAAAGTTTCCGAACCCGAGTCTTCTGTGGATGGAGTGGAGCCCTTGTTGATGACTATGAAGCCCAGTCGTGCGGCCATATCCAGGAGTAACATTCCTCTCATTATAATTATAATTATTATTATTATTTCTACTCAACCTACAAATAATTCAAGGCATATTCTGGTCCTAATTCCAAAAAATTAGTTACATAATCTTAAATATAGCAAAAGAACGATGCCATCAATACCTTGATAGGAAGATACATGTCAATTTTTGATGCTGTAGGTAGATCCATTGATGTACTCGAGGCTGTTTCAAACAAAGGCTTTAAAACTAATCCCTTCTGTCCACAAAGGCGACACAACTGCCTTCTCAGATTTTCCAACGTCTGCTGATTGGCAAGTACGTCTGCCTTGTCATCATTACAAAAATGTTGATTTTGTATATAACCTAGAAAACAAAAACATATTGCACAAATCAAAAAAAATCAGAGAGCAAGCTTCTCTCTTATTCTCTACTCTCTTCAATACGCTGTATATAGAGAACACAAGACACTAGAAATAATTAAATTTTTTCCCAACAAAATAGAAAATAAACAACTATCCTCAATTGTTTGATAACGCCATCAAAATAAAATGTACAGATACTGATCCACAGGCTGTAACAAAGAATTACCCATTTTTATCCATTACACATCTTTGGTCAATTCTGTGGGTTGGGTAATGAACACTAGATAACAGGACCATTAACAGTAAAGAGATTAAAATGAAGTGTGGTGGAATTCTTTTCAAATTATGAAAAGAAATCTGAAACACATCTGAGTAGAGTGGCAAAGAAACCACTGATTTAATTCAAATGTTTCTTTCTAATTATATTATATTTTAATAAAACAATTGAATAAATAAGGTTACTTATGTACTGCCATTTTAGGGTCATAGATTTTTTGTAGATTCTTAAAATGGCAAACCAATGCCACTTTGGTAAGGGGAATTAACACGTAACCTTAATTTTGTAAATGGCCCTATAGAAAATCAAACCTGACCCCCCCGATGTAGTGTGCTCACTAACTCTCCCTTTGACCCATGTCAAGTGAGAACACACTCCCTAACGCACATGCCCTGTTGAATTCAAGAATACTTTTCTAGTTCATTCAGAAATTCAGTATCATTCCAATGTGTTCCATTGCGTTATGCATGTTACGGCCATGCATATGCTCTGATGCAAAAACTACTCAACTGATTATAATGGCAGTCAGTACAAACTAAACTCAAAACTAAATCTCTCCAACCTTAAACTGCACCCTCTAATGGACAGTTTGAAGCATTATAAGTTACTGCTTCTACTCATCTAGATGGAGGAAGAATACTTCACAAAGAGATACTTTCAACAATTAAAACTGTTAAATAGTTGCATTCCAGTAGGAGGGTTCAGCAATTGACCCCTCCTGATTTTTTCTCTCTTTTTTTTTTAATTAAGGAATTGTTTAATAATTCAATAACAAAACAGTAAGTGATAGTTTACATTTCAACTCTGTTCCTTACAAAGCAATTTGACACCATTGGGATGTGTAATTTGTGGAAACTCCAGTCTCACACAGGCCCCACTGTATACATCGCAACTTAACGAAAGGATGTGTTAACGTAGAGAAGAATTCTTCCAAAAACATTGCCATCAGCATTCTGTCAAAACTTTGCATTTCCCTGATTTTCACATTAAGTAGGAAATGTTTGAAATGGTGATTTCTAATTGTCATTTGTGGCCATTATACATAATTCTGTAGATCTGGTCATGGACTGCTTGTAAATGATCCATGGCTAAATGTTTAACATGACTGATCTACATAACACTAGCCCCATAAATAAATTGCAATAACGGTATTTCTTCCCTGTAGAAGTGGCCATGTAGTTAAGTCAACAGCCTCCCACACCTCAGTGAAGAGATGCAAATCTGTCAGCTTCAGAAAGCACCATGTAGCATGCAAGTATCGAAAGCCACTCGGTGTAGGCTTTATAATGACAGGTGGTGAAGAAAGTGCTCTACATGGGAGAGAGGCACACACACACACAAAAGAGGAGAGATAGGGAAAGGAGAGAGAGAGTGAGGAGACAGAGAGGAGAGAGAGAGGAGAGAGAGTGAGGAGAGAGGGAGGAGAGAGAGAGAGAGAGAGGAGAGAGAGAGAGAGGAGAGAGAGAGAGGAGAGAGAGAGAGGAGAGAAGGAGAGGAGAGGGAGAGAGAGAGGAGAGAGAGGAGACAGAGAGAGGAGAGAGAGAGGAGACAGAGAGGAGAGAGAGAGGAGACAGAGAGAGGAGACAGAGAGAGGAGACAGAGGAGAGAGAGAGAGAGAGGAGAGAGAGAGAAAGAGAGAGGAGAGAGAGAGAAGACAGAGGAGAGAGAGGAGACAGAGAGAGGAGAGAGGAGACAGAGAGAGGAGACAGAGAGAGGAGAGAGGAGACAGAGAGGAGAGAGAGAGAGAGAGAGAGGAGAGAGAGGGGAGAGAGGAGAGAGAGAGAGAGAGGAGAGAGAGAGAGGAGAGAGAGAGAGAGATGAGAGAGATAGGCAGGCAGGTAGGGAGAACGAGAGAGCAACTATAAATGAGTACA